AAAGGAGTAATACTGTTCAATCAATAGCAACCAGACCAACATCATGTTCAATCATTACGAACACAACAAACAACAGGTTCTACCAATACCAACACGGCCAGTACATAAGAATCTATCAAAACCAACACAACCAACATCAAGTTTCATCAATACCAGGACAACCAACATCATGTTTAGGATATTACAAAGACAACCAACATCAGGGGCGTGAACTACAAAAGGCATTTGGAAAATGTGAACCCCCTGTGTGTGTAAAATGATATATCGAGCAAGAACACTCTATATTGTTGCAGTGTGCAAGGTCATAAAAAGAAACACAAATGTGAATTTGCAGGTGCATTAAAATGTGCAAAAATACCTTAATTTTTGCTTCCCACCAATGGTCAGCGGCGTGAATTCTTCCGGTACCCCGCGGTACTCAATTCCAGTGCATCGCAACAACTCAAACAGAAGTTTGTGATCCGTTCGCAGTTTATTCCAGTAGTTCTTCATCTGCGTTGTCGTCCAGTCCTTCCCCGTCGACGAGTTGAACAGGTCTGATATTCGTTGCCATCCTTTCGAGGAGAAGCATTTGCCTCGTCGGTGACCCTCAGCTATGACAAGTTCGCAAGTGTCAATGAACGCTTTGTGCTCCAGCTGGTTCCATCTCGCCGTCTTCCGCACCACGCCCGGGGCTGCCTGCAACTTGGAAGAATGAGGGTGCAAATCAGGTGGGCAGAGACTTGTGAACTGCTGCCATGGGAACAACCACAGGAGGCAGGTAATTTTGATAAACATCAACGAATTCACAAGAATCAAATTCGGAATAGGTGGAACAAGATTTCAGGGAGACGTATGCATCGCGGGATCGACATAAATTTATGTACAAGTCCATCAAATTGGAGTCATACCCATGTGAAACAAATGACAAAAATGGTATAAACGGGTAGCAAATGGACAGAGGATACTGCTAGCAATTAAATTTGAGGAATGGCTTACCGTTTGGTCGGGGGAAGTTTGTCACTTCGAGAAGTCGTGGTCCATGGAATCCGGACACAAATTCGTGGTAGAAGCCGGGTTTGTTGCCAGAGATCCCCTTTCTGGATCGAAGCCCTGAACAGGGACAGGAGAAGGAAGTGAGAAAAAATACAAAATTTCGATTCGCACAGTTACAAAATGGCTGGTGTGTACCTGGATTTTCAGCGAAGTGATGCCCCTGGTTTTTCTCAGGCAAACTTTCCGGTCGCGACGTCGCAGATCGCCGAGCCTTACGATTTCAGTATGCTAATTGGAGAGGAGTGGTTGGAATGGGAAAGGGAAAATTGATTGTAGATGCTGAAGAAGGGGGCAAAAATGGAAATTTTTTGCAACGGGAGGTGAGGTTAAAAAATTGGGTTCCTGACAACCGGCTTGACTTTGGGGAGGTATGTCTGAACTTACTATAGGAGAAATCGATTATTGGGCCAAAAAAGGGGTTCCAAACATAGGCTTAATATAGAAAGAAAAACAATCTGTCGCTTCACTCTTCAAATTCCGTCTCCACCCTCATGTCTCCCGTCTCCACCCTCGTCTCCCCGTCTCCCGAAAGCAAAATCGGCCCTGCCGTGAGTCACACCTGGCACGGAACGGACACCCTATCTCCCGCTCTGTGTCCGCCCTTCATCTCTTGACTCCTGACTCCCGGTCTCTCCCACACCACACACAGTCACACCACAGACCCGTTTCGAGCTCTGCCCAACTCCAGTCTCCAAGTACAACTTCCAAGCTCCACTGCAGCGCTGCTCTGAGGTAAGTAGGTAATTTATTGTATTGACTACAGACTGTGTAGTTTGTGATTTGTCCAATTTAGGGATAGATAGTCAGGGATTTTGAACTGCATTTAAGGATTGATAATTAGGGGTTTTAGGGATTTTGATGAGATTTGATTTAGGAATTGGATTTCTTTTTTCGAATGCTAGTGGAAAGGCGAAAGCTTGTTCTTGAAGTGGGATCTTCTTCTATTCTAGTTTAAAGGTCATTTCTTCCCCATCTAATTCTCTTCTTCTATGGTTTTCAAGGAAGTGTTGGAGACTAAAATGATACACACGAAAGATAATAGTAGAGATGGTATAGGAGGAAAGCTTAGGAGGAAAGCCACGAAAGCTTGTTCTTGAAGTGGGATCTTCTTCCATTCTATGGTTTTCAAGAAAGCATTTGACGGGCTACAACTACTTGGCTTTTCTCCAATAAATAGTATAGAAGAGATTTTTGTGCTAATAAATGTCTATGGTGTAGAAGGAATCAGTGTAATTTGTTATTCTTGCCTTTGATATTTTTGTTTACATAAATCTGGACCGTCTTCCAGTGTGGCAAAAACTTGAAGCAGAAAATCCAAAATTTTTTAAGGCATATTATCTCAGGTTGATTGCGAAGGACCAGATATTGCGATTTAATCAATTACTTGATAGACATATTCAGTTAATGCGCTAGTTGTATCCAAGAGTAGTTGCTCCAATTCCTTTGTCCGATGGATCTCAGAATTATCCAAGTAAGCTAGCATTTTGATAGCTGGTTTTCTTTATGTGATGGTTATACCTTATATCAAAATGTCAACAGAGGGACACCCTTTTATCTGTATATCTGGTTTTCTTTATATGTTGGCATTTTGGTTCCTACATAGATGAACCACTGCTTGATGATATACATATTTATGTTGGGATTTTTGACGTGCTCATCCAAAAGAAGTTTTCTATTCGTTGGGCGTAGATCTTTTCATTCTATTTTCCTTGTGCTTTGCTGATTACTTTTCTAGGGGCTATGCTTGTCGGGTTAAAGAATGTACCTCTCTTTTCCAACAGGGGCTATCAATGGATTGATAAACTATAGTTCACTAATTAGCACTTTTAAGCATTAAAGTTGTCAGTAATATACTGTTGTGTTCCGAATAATCCTATATCTAAGTCAGCTTTCTATGACTATGATAACACAATTTAGGTGTTGTCCCCTTTAATTTAATAACTTCAAGCCCGTTTGGCATGACTTTTGAGAAGTCAAAAAGAGTGTTTGAGACTCAAAAGTTGTTTTTGGACCCGTTTAGCTAATTTTTTTGAAAGTGTTTCTTCTAGTTAACAGCTTTTAGAGGAAGGTGATCCGTTGTGACTTCCTCTTAAAGTATTGGGATGGCATTTCAGAATGTTACTTGTGATGACCTGCTTTCCCTGCATAGTGAAAGATAGAAAATTCTCTTTTTGTTATTGCATACTTGTTAGGCTTCTTTAGACATATTTCTTTGTGATTCTTTATTTGCAGATTGCAGAACATGCGTCTGGAATGCTGTTGATGGCAGCTTAGTTCACTCTCTCACTGGTCATACTGATTCTTTAAGATATTTTATCATATTATTGCTTTTGGGTGCTTTCATAATTTCAAATACTTAACAAACAAAAGTAGATTTGCATGCTGGAAATGATTCTAATGTTATTTTATTGCTTCGATATACTTATTATCCTAATTCAACAGTAACCCATGGACCATGGTCTATTTCTGCCCTGCAATTAGTCAGCTTGTGCTAATGACTGCAGCAACTGATACTTGCTATCATTCTGGATTACATTGTTCTGAGTGGGAAAATAATATAGCAAATCATCTTGGAACTTAATCTAAAATATTTAGTTTGTC